TTCAAAAGATACACAAAGGAAAATATGGAACTAGGCTTTCAGATCAGATATTTTCTGACAACCTTAAATCCATATTGTCTTATGGAAGTGGACATGTGTTGCCTTTTTAATATCATGGCCATATGACCTCTTGGTCAGTGAAGAAACTACTCCGGGAAGCAGGGTTGTATCAATGTTGAGATTAACATGTGCATACAATGTTATATGAACTATAGCTTCCTTTTGATTAATTCATTTTAATAGTGTACTTTCATAGCCTCTGTTGATATTGGGAATTTGGGAGACCAAGAGAAACCCAGTAGATTAGAGGAGAAGAATGCTTCCATATCTTAAAAAGAAGAGAATTGTAAAGATCGCCAGTTTTCAACAATGGCGTATATACTGGGAATGTTTATTGAACATTAAACAGTCAATCCTTGAATATTGGGAAAGGAATGTTATTATTACTAAAACTCCACATGAATTTCTCAAAAATAAATCCAATTCTTTTTCTTTTGGACAGAATTACAAAGCTGGTAGATCAGGGAAATGCCGTTCAGGCAGTATGTCTTTGTTTCAGCAAGGCTTTTGAAAAGGTTCTCCATAGTAGGCTAGTCAAATGTGATCTAGGCAATGTTAATGTTGGATGAATTTTAACAGCTTTGTGGCCATAACACAAACAGTGCAGATAAATAATCAATGGAATGCCTTCTGTCCTGGTACTGATGTTGGTCAGCATTTTAATAAATGACTTGGATCATTTACTAAAATGACTTGGATCATTTACTAAAATACTTAGAATGCTATACTTGGAATGCTAGCCAAATTAGGAGAGATGGCTAAGAAGACAGAATTGGGGTTCCAAATGACCTTAACAGACGAGAACTGGGTCAAAATTAACAGTGAATTCCAACAGGGATAAATATAAGGTACTATATTGAAAGGGTGTGAAATGCACAAACACGGAATTGCTAACATCTGTATTGACAACGGTATATATATATAAAAAATTAATTCCCTGAGTACATGACAAGCTAAACGTAAGTGAGGAAAGCAATGTGGTGGCCAAAAAAGAAAGTGCGGTTATAGAATGCAACAGCAGTGATATAGTGTTCAGATTGAAAGAAGTAATCGTATCATTCTGCTTTGGTCAGACTGTATCTGTAATACAAGTCCAGTTCTGGCTATTACAGTGTAAAACGTTTACTGACAAGTTAAAATATGAACAAGATGGTAAAAGGCCGAGAATCAAGCTCTGTGATGAGCTGATTAGGGAGTCAAATATTTTTAGCTTAAGAGGCGATGAAAGATCTGAAGGGAGCCAGCTTGTTTACAACTGCTCCAGAAATCAGGATATAGACCAATGGATTCAAGATGCAAGAAAAGAAATCCCTCCCACACTTTAAAAAGAAGTATATTCATCTTATTATTAGCCCAAATATTATAAAATACCATTATGTATCCATTGATTTTGCTTTTAAAAATGCCAAATGTAGGACTTCATCATATGAGGAAATTTCAGTATCCTAGGACACTTTTGCCCCAGTTGAGCTATGGAACCACGCATCAGACAATGCAGGCTCACTTCTGGCGGGGCTCCAGGGCTCAGCCAGGGTGGTCCTACAATTCTGCACCAGCAACACAGGAGCCTCCTCATGTTCCATTAGGAACAACGGGGCTAGCGTGGTGCTAACCTGTGTGGTGACACTTTCTGATGTGTGATGGGAAAGTGTTGCTGCCAGCAAGGTGGGGCATGGGGCAGCGGGATTGCTCTGCTGCCCTGCCAATTTGCTATGGTGGCTGACAAATCGGAACATGGGACCTCATCAATGTGATGGGGTACATAGTCAGTACCCACAGTTCATGGATTTGGGAACCACATGGTATTTTGTTTCAACAAATGCCAAAAGCTCACAAACTGGACTGGAATTCCTAAAGTCTCAACTTGAATGCTATGAGCACACTGGTAAAACCAGACGTTCCTTGTTAGCACCCATTACATCTTTATTTTTATCATATTTAAAAGGCTGATTGGAAGCATGAATTTATCGAGTTTCATATTTCACAGATCCTAGTTCTCCAACAGGGAGAAATTAAGTGGACAAAACTCTGAATTAGGAAAAAAATAAAATTCTTTGCTAAGGACAACAAATTTCAGGATAGCAGATTTTAGGATTATTTTTCATTTCCCACTGAGCTTCTGCTTGCACCTTGAAAATAAACAGCATATAAGTGTATTCATAGGAATAATGTGATATCAGGTGACAATTGAACCAGATTTTGTCTGTGCAGAGTAGAATAAATATGAAAAACACTGTCAGGTGCCAACCTAGCTGTATACATAATCTTTGTATTATTCCTGGGGGCTATAAACCTTTTTCCCTTTTCTGCATGTCCCAGCCAGACTTGGTTAACTCACTCTGAAGGTCTTCTTGGGATTCAAAACTGCGAAGTCATTTGCTAACACACATGCAAGCGGTATGAAGGGAATGTCCACCCACTGCGTGCGGGATGATGGAAGGATGCCACTGAGTTGGCTCAGGTCCAGTTTCAGCAGCCTAGCTTGCTGCTAGGTTAGGTTGTGGCTATTGATGTTTAATAAGAGTAAGAGGCCACTTCCCACTTTTTCTAAGCACATACTTACCTGCTAGCCTTAGATTTTAGGAGAGTCAAATTAGGAAGCTCTGCTAAAATAGAATGGCCAGGTCATTTGGTAAAAAAGTTTCATCATAAAATTGCTCAAGAGAGCTTCTCATTAGATAAGGGTTGCAAACCCATATACCAATTTGAGATCTTCATATGTACAGAAGCAGGGGCGGCTCGTCCATTACGCGAAGTAAGTGGTCGCAGAACACTTTTTTTTGCCAGGGGCGCAGAGGCGC